AGCTGACAAGAAGTAGACCCGATTTTGAGGCTCGATGCTCTATCTATATAATCTAAGGATGATGATTATAAAATTTATATAGACATTTTTTCCACGTCGAGTTAAAATCTAGAAAGCATTTATATTTTTCCGCTTCATTTAACTTTAATTGTAAGGAAAGATACGACTACCTAATTACACAATTTTAATGCCAAGTTTGCGAGTTAATACCCTAAACAAATAATCCGGTATAAAAGGTTCTTAGTCTATAATTATTCAGGTTATTTTTGCATCAACGCCTATTTAGATAAGAACGAATAACGAAGATTTAGATTTAGATAAGAAAGAATAACGAAGTATAGTGTGATTATCTATGTTGGTATCTGATTGCAGTTTCTTAATGTTTATTGGAAGAGGGGAAGCGATTGCTAGTAATGTGAACTACCAGTTTCATTGCTAGTAATATACCTTATCAGGTCGACCTCCCTGTGGTTCTTTCTGGAAACAATCGCGCTGAATGCCTGGTATATTCATCGAAATGAACTACCTTTATATTCTCATCTGTCATCCCTCACTGGTGTCTGGCTAGTGTGTACTGTTAACGCAAGTGGGGTTACCATTCTGTTATCATCCGTTAAAAAAAGTTTAATGAAGTGGAAGTTGGTTTTGTTCTTATGAAATATATACGAATTTTTTTCCCTTTGCCCAGGAATTATGGAAATGAATAATTTTGCATTTAGGTGACATTTTTGTCAGGTATTTGATGGTGTATTAAAATAAAGATTTTTAAAGATTTTCTACAAAAGTACAACTGTAAAAATCACATTTTATTTGATGCAGCAATTTTTGCCTGATATTGGTGCAAACGTACAGACATGCATTCAGACAAAAAATCTAATAAATATTGTTTTAGCTTTGTCTGATTTAATTATGAGGGGTTATATATTCTTTTCTTAAATATCTATTATATACATACGTTGTCTAGTTACAATCTTATTATATTAGAGGAACCACCTGTGATCGCAACTTAGCGTATATTATGAGAATCTTCCATTATTTTACACAGCAATTTTTCATATTCTGACTAACAAACTACTGAGTAGTATGTCTATAAATCACTTTGTCATGTAGACAATAATAAGAATTTAACCCCTTTTAACATTCATATTTCTTTAACATATTAACTCGACGCTTTGTAGTCTATATACATATGTTGAATATTGATTCGTCTTTATGAGAAAATTCTAACACAATTTGTCTGGCTATTTTTATACGAAACGCTGACATACAAGTAAACAGACAAACTGAAAAAATCACATAATTTTTTTTTAGTATATTATTGTCTGCATAGTGCATTACATATTATAATATATATATATATATATATATATATATATATATATATATATATATATATATATATATATATATATATATATATATATATATATATATATATATATAAATTGTGATTGACGTTTTGTAACAGTAAAAGTTGCAAAAATATTGCACGGAACTTTACAATTGCTAATTGTCAAAATAATGGTATTACATAGCACGATTGCTTTCATCTGATCATTAGATTATGTAAATACACTATAACAAATAGTGTAATTTGCGACTATAAGGCAAAAGACAGAACTAATTCGTATTAAAAGCTAAAAAAGTAATATTAGCTCTAAATCGCTCAGTAAATCAGTGTCTGAATTTAATATATAATTGTTCTCATTTTCTATTGTTATTGTATATAATATTGAAACTAGTATAAGCTAACGCTGTGCGTAGCAATTAACGTTGTACAATTTTAAAACAATTACTGAGTTATAAAGCTTATTATAGTCAATTTAATGTGAATTGTATTACTGTTGCTGTGCCTAAATGAATAAATAAATAAATGCTGTACCAACGTACGTTTACCAAACTCTTTTAGTTAATATTAAAACAAAAAATTTGACAGCAAATATTGTGTAATTTTCAGCTACCGCAAAATATTGGCGAGATACATAATCCGGGCTAACAACATCCAATTACTTACTACCGACTCCCAAGTTTCATTTAAATCTGTAAAACGTAGTATATCTGCGGTATTTGCGCTCGAAGTTTTTGTATTTTCTCGTAAAAACGGATGGGGAATGAAAATGGTAGTGAAAAATACACTCCTATAATCTTATTATATTTTATTTATCTTTATTTATTTATTTACACTTTTATTTTTATTGCATAATTTATAAAAATAATAAATACAGTAAATTTCAATAATAATTATTTTAATTCTATACATGTATTATTATCATTAATTTAACTATTCATTGCTGAACATAAGTCTCCTTATAAGGAGGAGTTTTGCCAGTAGTTGCCATGCTTTGCAGGCGGGTTGGCACACATAGTTGGATATTTTGATGATATTTTAAGAGGGACGCTGCTGCCTATCCCTCGACCATTAAGTTCTATAGTTGTCTTATATGACATCTACGGGAAAGGAAGGAGTGGCCCATTCTATGCTGGAGCCATACAGTATTTACATATAATATGTATAATAATTGTGTATATAAAAATGACAAATATTTAAAATTACCATTTTTCGTCAGCTACTTCTTACACGTGGATTTCAGAATGAGGAAAATTAATGAAATGATCCATTTCTAGATAACGTATCAAGATAAAACATATATCAGATTTTAAGTTGAACCTTCAGGAATACAAATGTGAAAACCGTACTCAATTTGGTGCAGTAGTTTTTGCATAATACCATAATAAACATTCAGACAGACAGACAAAATTTATAAACATTATAGTTTTAATTTTAGTAGTTTTTCCTAGCATATATAATATATTTTTGTTAAATATCTCCAATGTACATACGTCACCTATTTACAGTTTATCATATTAGTAAAATTATTAAAATAAACAGAAACTAATGTTGAAAAAAAATGTATACGAGTACAAACAAAATACAAAATGAAATCTATAGAAAAGCAAGTACAATAAAGCAATAAGGAAATTTGTATTAGGTAATAAAAATTATATTACTTTAGATGAAATAAAAGTTGACGCCTAGTAACAAGCGCGTACCATATTTTTTTTAATGAATGATAATAGAATGGTAACTGCCCCTGCGCTATCGGTATACACTGGCGGGGCACCAGTAAGGGGTGATAGGTGAGGATGAAGTAGGTCAGTTAGCCCACCGTGACGAATCTAACAATAAATCAATCACGATGGTTTCCAGGGGGAACCACGAAGAGGTCAACCTGATATAGTAAATTGCTAGCAATGGGCTACTAATCCCCATTACTAACAATCCCTTCTCACCCCGCGCGTACCATATTATATACCCGTGTATTTGTAACAGATTTATTGTTATGCTATATACTTACCGTCTTATTCATAAAAAATATTAACTTTTTATAGGGAAATAATGCGATTATAATAATCCTTATTCATAACTCTGCAATAGCTGTTTAATAGCGACGGCACATGGAGATGACATCATCTATTTATTATGAGATTATCTACACAATTATGATAGATTTATAGATATAATCTATCATAAATGTGTAATAGTAAAAAGTGTTATTCATAAATGCACTATTACAACCATTATTATGTCTACTGTAAGAACATTTTAACGTCAACATTAGATGGATAGATACTCTTTATTGTTGCCTCCAAAAGATTACAATAATAAACTTAATATAGATACAAACAATTACAAGAAATAATGAGAAAACAATAGGCGAACTTATTGGTAAATGCGATTGCGATTAGTAATAATATATTATTTTAAGTATATAAATTAAAATTCTTCATTTATACGATCTAAAATATGGATCAGTTTAAAGTCTGCGATAAATTACGAAGACATACATTATTATGAAATTATATGTACATCCGTCCTTAATGTTGTATTTTCTTAACCTGGTCCATGCCCATTCATATTTTGAAGTATGTAAATATTGTTTTTATTTTTTAATTAAAATAGCAATTATTATATTCTGTTATTATTACAAAAATATAATAGTAGGAGTAGTATATTTTTCTAGAATTTATTAAAATTTTCAATATAATAATGTAAATCCTCCAATAAACCTATTTCAGTTATTGAGGGCTTTTAGAATGTTTATAAATAAAGTTTATGAATGTTCAATATTGGACATTTTAGTTAAAAAGCCCTTTAAACCTAGAGTAAGATTTTTTTATTAATAAGACTGCTAATCTTTACATAATATAAAATAGAGTCGTTTCTCGTCGTTTGTACGCTTTGTTCTTTTAAACTAACTACGCAAAGGATTTTAATTCGGTTTTCATTAATAGATAGACATTATATTTTAAAATTATTTTGTGTTACTTTGTTAAAAATGATGATAATTGTTCAAGATGTTGTAAGAAAGCAAGCTTCCATTACAAATGCTGCTTAATCTGTTTAAGTTACAACAAAGCAATGTAATATTATTTCCGTTTTATAGGTATATAAAACAGTCCAAGATGGCATATGTCTATTTTTTTAAAATAGTTTGCTATATCTATTTACACGCAGCAAGGTTATACAAAAAATGTAAGCATACGTGCTCTACTATCCGTGCAAAGCCGGAGCGGGTCACTAGTTGAAGATAAGAATAGCTCTTAACATTCACTAAAAGTAAGAGTGATATTAAAGGCAAATGATGGGTGTCACAGTATATTCACTTTTCATGTAGATCTTCAGATTATTTGCTGTTTAGAATTGTATAAAAGAGTAATATATTACCGTGAGGTCCTGGCATAGAATGGGCCAACCCCTTTCTTTCTCGTGGGTGTCGTAAGAGGCGACTAAGGAAACTTAATAGTAGAACTAAACTAAAGAGATAAATTGTCGAAGGATAGACAGCAGCGTCTCTCTTTAAACATCACTAAAGCCTAACTGCGGTTGCCAACCCGTCTACCAAGTGTGGCAACTATGTTCAAGTAGTGAACAGTTTTCGGCTGATACGGACGAAGTCGCATGAAAAATTAGAAATTATATAAAAATCTTTTTGTTACAGATTAAATTCACACGAGCCAGAGTTAAGTGTTAAGAAATAATGCATTTTTTAAGAAACAAAATTACCCATACATATCGTCCTGTTTCAATATTGATTTGATGATTGGCTTTGAGTAGAGACATTGAAAGGCTATTTAAATCCATCAATAATGGAAGGCAGTCAGAACAAAAATGGATGTAATGCATAATATTACGTTGGAGAGACAGAAGTTTTACGCCACCCACGATTTTAAGAATCCACCCAATTTGGAAGACGTGGAGGTGAGTCTTAATAATTGCTCTGTTTTCCGAGGAAGCTTGTTTCTCATTACATTGTCTACACACACAGAAGAATGTGAAAACATTCCCTGTAATAGCAAAATATGTGTATCATCACTGTATCTGTATTGAGACAAAATTTGCATGTCTTTAGATAAGTCTTTAGCAGTATTATCATTATAAGACTATTTATACAGAATACATTACAAGCAAATAAATTATAAAGAATTATAATAAATAAAGAGGAAAATTTTATTATTTGTTTGTAATGGATAAACTCAAAAATTAATCAACCGATTTTAAAAATTATTTCACTTGTAGAAGGCTACATTATTAGCGAGGAATATAGGCTATGTACTTTGATTATGTAGATAGAGTGTTACCATAGAAATGCTTCGAGAAAAACGGATCAACTTTTTCATACAATTTTGCGTGATAAATAACTAAAGTTAAGAGTAATTCTTTTATAACTTCTATATTTATTTTGTCTTATAAATTCTGCGTCGTTTTAATCAATGCAAATTTCTAATTTGCATCTTGTTTGTTCAAGATACATTTTATGCGTAAATACTGATAAAAAAACGAGTCAGCTAATTTGACAATTAGCTGACAAAAGTTAACCCGTTTTTTAAACTCAATGCTCTATTTATATAATTTAGGGCTTAATATTATTTTGGCGAATTCTATCTATCCGTGCGTTAGTAGTACTAGTCAGTGGTAAACTTCCAGAGTCAGTAGACTAGAGCTTAGAGGCTTAGAGAGCTTAGACCGCAAATTTGGGGCAATTTCTCATATAGATATATGTAATATAATAAATAAATACAATTCTGTTATTTCCATGGTACTGCTCATGTTTAGAGGCGACGGTTACCACTTTCCATCAGGTGGGCCGTCAGCTTGTTTGCCATTCTACGTTGTATAATATATATATATATATATATATATATATATATATATATATATATATATATATATATATATATATATATATATATATATATATATATATATATATATATTTATATATATATATATATATATATATATATATATATATATATTATATATATATATATATATTTATATATATATATATTTATATATATATATATATATATATATATATATATATATATATATATATATAAATATAAAAATATTGTTTAAATATAAATAATGTTCTTAATTTTAATCCAACGAAATTTAATCATTTGTAATTATTAATTAATTATAAAAAATGTGAAATTTATTTGTAAAAATATTTCAGGATTTGTTATTCAATTACGCTTAAATAGCTAAATGAAATTTATTACAGAAATAAATATCGTACTTCATTTATACATGAAGCGCTTAATTATTGAATTCGCGATATATAGCCACTTTCTAATAATATTTTTTATTATGATATGACGGCCCACCTGATGGAAAATGGTTACTATCATCTAATATGAATTAGAGATATTATATTATTATGCAGTTGAATGGAAATTAAGGAAATTAGTTTTTTGACATTCAAAATTATTGTGATGAGTTAACTACTGAGGTGATATTAGACAAAACAATATTAATTATGGTCGTTTAATTGAGCCACATCCAAAGAGACCACTTTAAAGGACATGAATAAAAAATAACAAAAGCTAAGAGACCAACCTGTTTCCCAAGCGTATCTACAAAACCACTGGAGTAGCCAGCGAAAAATGATAAAGATTTTCCATTTTTTCAGTGGTAGTTAGAGGTGCATTGAATATATTCAATAAATTTCTTATAAGAAAATGATGAAATCTTGCTATCATTTTAATACATTTTTTGAGTGTATGTTACGGAGTGACATCGCCAATTCTTTTATTATCATCGTCATGTCAACTGTTATCTGTCTACTGCAAAACATATGGAGGTTTGGACAGTAGTTGCCACGTTTGGCAGGCGGGTTGGCAACCGTAGTTAGACTTTGGTTATGTTTTAAAAGGAACACTGTTACCTAAGTTCCAATTGTTATATAAATGATAATTATTTTTACAATCAACAGAGTTTACGTCGTCGTTAATTTTGACACTTATGATGCTGTTACTTATTTGGTAAAGTAGCAGTTTAACGGTAGCGATTCGATTCCCATTCAATTTAAACATTTGTACTTATTAATACATTTATTTGTATTGGCGATTTATATATAATTCATCTTCAGAAATACATAGACCTTACCTTGAAAATCACATTCTACAAAAATATTCAAATAATATATATTATGTATATATATATATATATATATATACATATATTTATATAAAGTATATATAAGTATTTCTCTCAATTGTAGTAGTACTTATAATACTCAATTGCTTTGGTTATTTTAGAACTAGATGGCGCTGTGTAAGATGTGGTGGAGGGCTAGATTCTGATTCCAAACAAAATTTATACGTTACGCACGTTCCAGCATTTTAAATTAAAACTTTTTAGTATTGATCATTTACGAAAGAGCTCATCTGATATCGGTTCGTGATATTCGAATTTTAAAATGAGTATAGTTGTATTACTAGTCAATATGAATTACGTCGAATTGAAGCCAGAAGAAGCAGAACAAAATCTACTGTCTTAAAAAAGTCTATTACTGCTCGAACCGTTGTCCAATATGTGGCCTCCATTAACTGGAATTTACAAACCCACATTTTTTTTTCTCCTTTTCAATCAACCAAAATGTACAAATCTTTTTCTATGCCATTTCGGTCTACACATTTGTGGATTTACGAGCAGATCGTGCACAAAGCATTCAAAAGCTATATCATTATATGAAAAGTCTGTGCCTAAGTTGTCTGAGATTATAATCGTTACAAAAATAGATTGGTAATCGAAAGAAAAATAAAAACGGCGCCCACAAAACTACAACAATAGAAACATATACAAAACAGTACTAAAAACATGCTTAATAATATTATATATGTGACAGTGAATTTGGTTTGTTTATGTTATAGTGCCTTTAATGGTTTAATCAGTTACTATGAAATTTGGTATATACATACCTACTGTATGTACCAAATTTCATACAATATCTCAATTAGTAAAATTTACGATTTTAAATATCCCTTTTTAGACCCCTTATAAATAAAAATATTTATTCAATTATTCAAATTGCCATATGTGTGGATCAGTAATAAGCATAACTATTCTTTAGTAATTACTGAGATAAAATGCTGTGATAAACAGATGGACGGACAGACAAAGCTGCACCATAAGGGTATCCTATCTACATTTTTTGATATGTAACTCTAAAACTCAATTTTAAAAGTGATATATTAGATGCTAGTTTTAACTCGCCACTTCCTCCGTATGATCGAGATATGTTCTCTAACCGGGATAAAAAGTAGTCTATGTCGTTTTTCATCCCATATAGTACCTATATTTTATTTTAATTTCATAGTGATTAATTAAACCAATAAGACACTAAGAGGTAATAAACAAACTAATTTTCTATATACATAATATTAGTAATAGTAAGGATTTTTATAGAATTTAAAATGACACATAAGCTGGCTATCTACCTGATGGAAGACGCTATGGACTGCATGGATATCACAGAATACTTAATATTCCTGTGAATTACATACGATGTTATGATTCTGTACCTTGTGATTTTACTATCATACCCTACCTACATACGTGTAGGTATGTGTAATGGGTTAAATATTATGTATATATTAATTTATAAGTAGTACATCATTGACGTACTATAGAATAAGTTTAAAGGTGAATTTGAGTGTTGTAGGAAGTGTCCTCATAACATATTTACATGAATATTTATGTAAATGTGTGTTAGTTATGAATTATTAATATAAATAATTATAATATCCACTCCTGTTAATTTATTGAACCTCAGTGTAGGTAAAATTACGTTAAAATTGAAATTATTCTATTAAAGAGTTTTTATACGGAGTTTTTATAATAGTCTCCTAAGGTATTTTATTGATTATGGAGTCTAACGCTATAATCAATAAAATGTGGTAATTAACTTAATGCTATAGGCATTCTTTGCCTCTAGGCAACCTTTAAGATGTGGAGAGATTGTTAAAATAGTATACATTTTAGTATTTTTTTTTTCTACTTATAATGGTAAACAAGTTGACGGCCCACCCATAATTTTCGATATGGAATAAATCACTTCAAGCACAAAGTTTTACATTTAATAAATTTTCTATATTCATATTCAGCTCCAATAAGAACTTTAATTGTGACAAAATTAATGTGAGACGAACACGTAAATCCTTTCTACATCAATATGAATCATAAAAACCGGTTTTGAATTTGCGAAGATGATCTTATGATCTTTTTTCAAATATTCCTTATATTAAGTACAGTCTAGTTAAAATTTTATTACATGCATTTATTACAAGACTCAAGCTAATCCTAGAAAGTATTCCAAACTAATCTTTACTAATTTTGATAATGTAGAAATAAACGCAAGGGAAATATAGTTTTAATCCATAGAAAGGCCAAAAGGCTAAAGGGTTCCCCATAGACTATCCTTTAGAACGGTTGGAGCTATTCTACATACCCTTTGTAGATAACACAACGTATACCCGGTTATTTTATTAAAAACTCAATATCAAAGTACTAGATGCGCCATCTGTTGTTATTTGTTGAGAATTTTTTTTAGTACCTTTCTAAATTTGATTTGTTACCGAAAAATCAGTAAAAATAAAGAAATGTGTGTGAAAACGCTTGTAAACATTATTTTCCAACCTCGGACTGTTACAGTTTACATATAATTTGTAGAAGAACGTATGTTAAACATTATTTATTTGAGTGCATAAAACTTATAAAATCGTTTATACTGACTGACTATCAACGCACATCCAAATCTAATAAAACCTAATAATCCGAAAATTAAACATAGGTATAATTTATAACATAAGAAAAAAATTTTGAAATATCCAAGTTAAAGAAAATATGGCACCATGAATGCAAAGCCATTTTAAGAACAGCAATTTTAGCAACAGCTATTTTAAGAAGAT